CTCATATAGATAGATATATAGAAGAGACTGATATAAAAATAGATAGATATAAATGAAATAGATAGATATAGATAGAGATATAAATAGATAGATAGATAGATAGAAAGATAGATATATAAGATAGATAGATATAAATAGATAGATGAATGAATCATAGATAGACAGATATAAATGAAATCAGATATATAGAAAGACATACTGATATAAAAGGACAGATACTGAAATGATATATAGGTAGATATTAAAATACGGGACTGTGTTAGATAGATATATAGATATAGATAGATAGATAGATAGATAGATAGATAGATAGAGATAGACAGACAGATACTCAAATGAAATCAGATATATAGAAAGACATACTGATATAAAAAGGGCTGTGTTAGGTAGATATTAAAAGGACTGTGTTAGCTAGGCATATGGATAGATAGATAGATAGAAAGATAGACAGATACTCAAATGAAATCAGATATATAGAAAGACATACTGATATAAAAAGGGCTGTGTTTGGTAGATATTAAAAGGACTGTGTTAGCTAGGCATATAGATAGATAGATAGATAGACAGATAGATAGATAGAAAGATAGACAGATACTCAAATGAAATCAGATATATAGAAAGACATACTGATATAAAAAGGGCTGTGTTAGGTAGATATTAAAAGGACTGTGTTAAGATATATAGATAGATAGATAGATAGATAGATAGATAGATAGATAAAGATAGACAGATACTAAATGAAATCAGATATATAGATAGACATAGATATAAAAAGATAGATATTAAAAGACTGTGATAGATATGATAGATAGATATAGATAGATAGATAAAGATAGACAGATAAAATGAAATCAGATATATAGAAAGACATACTGATATAAAAGGGCTGTGTTAGGTAGATATTAAAAGGACTGTGTTAGCTAGGCATATATAGATAGATAGATAGATAGATAGATAGATAGATAGATAGATAGATAGATAGACAGATAAAAATGAAATCAGATATATAGAAAGACATACTGATATAAAAAGGGCTGTGTTAGGTAGATATTAAAAGGACTGTGTTAGCTAGGCATATAGATAGATAGATAGATAGATAGATAGATAGATAGATAGATAGATAGAAAGATAGATAGATACTCAAATGAAATCAGATATATAGAAAGACATACTGATATAAAAAGGCTGTGTTATAGATATATAAAAGGACTGTGTTAGAAAGGCATATAGATAGATAGATAGATAGATAGATAGATAGATAGATAGACAGATAGAAATGAAATCAGATATATAGAAAGAAATACTGATATAAAAAGACATACTGATAGGTAAATAGAAAAGGACTGTGTTAGGTAGATATTAAAAGATAGATAGATAGATAGATAGATAGATAGATAGATAGATAGATAGATAGATAGATAGATAGATAGATAGATACAGATATAAGAGATAGATATTAAAAAGACATACTAGATATAAAATAGATAGATGATGATAGAAAGATAGATATTAAAAGGACTGATAGATAGAAAGACATACTGATATAAAAGGATAGATAGATAGAAAGATAGATAGATAGATAGATAGATAGATAGATAGATAGATAGATAGAAAGATAGACAAATGAAATCAGATATATAGAAAGACATACTGATATAAAAAGGGCTGTGTTAGGTAGATATTAAAGACTGTGTTAGCTAGGCATATAGATAGATAGATAGATAGATAGATAGATAGATAGATAGATAGATAGACAGATACTCAAATGAAATCAGATATATAGAAAGACATACTGATATAAAAAGGGCTGTGTTAGGTAGATATTAAAAGGACTGTGTTAGGATAGGCATATAGATAGATAGATAGATAGACAGATAGATAGATAGATGATAGATAGACAGATACTCAAATGAAATCAGATATATAGAAAGACATACTGATATAAAAAGGGCTGTGTTAGGTAGATATTAAAAGGACTGTGTTAGCTAGGCATATAGATAGATAGATATATAGATAGATAGATAGATAGATAGATAGATAAATAAATCAGATATATAGATAGATAGATATAAATAGATAAATAGGGATATTAAAAATAGATGTGTTAGATAGATAAAAGGATGTGTTAGATAGAGATAGATATATAGATAGATAGATAGATAAAAATCAGATAGATAGATAGATAGATAGATAGAAGGATACTCAAATAGAAATTAAATATAGAAGAAAGACATACTGATATAAAAAGACAGATAGATAGGATAGATATTAAAAAGGACTGATAGATAGATAGATATATAGATAGATAGATAGATAGAAAGGACTGTGATAGATAGATAGATAGATAGAATAGATAGATAGATAGATAAATGAAAGATAGATATATAAAAAGACATACTGATATAAAACATAGATAGATAAAAAGATAGATATTAAATATTAAAAGACTGTGTTAGATAGGCATATAGATAGATAGATAGATAGATAGATAGATAGATAGATAGATAGATAGATAGATAGATACTCAAATGAAATATATATAAAAGACAGATAAAGATATAAAAAGAAATACTGTGTAGATAGATATAGATAAAGATAGATAGACTGATAGATAAAAAGATAGATATACTCAAATGAAATCATATATATATATATAAAAAGGACTGAGTGTTTGGGTAGATATTAAAAGGATAGATATAGATAGATAGATAGATAGAAAGATAGATAGATAGATAGATAGACAGATACTCAAATAAATAGATATATAGAAAGACATACTGATATAAAAATGATAGATATTAAAGATAAAAAGATATATATATATTAGATAGATAGATAGATAGATAGATAGATAGATAGATAATGAATCAGATATATAGAAAGATATATATAAAAAGATAGATAGATATTAATAGATAGATAGATAGATAGATAGATAGATAATAAATAGATAATAGATAGATATATAGAAAGATATACAGATAGATAATAGATAGATAGATATTAAAATAGATATTAAAATAGACTGATAGATAGATATTAAAAGACTGAGAGAGGCAGATAGATAGATAAATGATATATATAGATAGATAGATAGATAGAAAGATAGATAGATATTAAAATGAAATCAGATATATAGAAAGACATACTGATATAAAAATAGATATTATTAAAAGACTGAGATAGATAGATAGATATATATAGATAGATAGATAGATAGATAGATAAAATAGACAGATATTAGATAGATAGATATATAGATAGACAGATATATAAAAAGACTTTGAGATAAAAGATTGATACACATAGACAGATAGATAGAAAATAGAACTAGATAGAAGAAGATAGATATTAAACAGATCAGATATTAAAATGATACTGATATAAAAAGGGCTAGATATATAAAAGATAGATAGATAGATAGATAGATAGATAGATAGATAGATAGATATATTAAACGGACTTAAATAGATATATATGATAGATATTCAGATAGACAGATATTAAAAATACTCAGATAGATATAGATAGATAGATAGATAGATAGATAGATAGATAGAAAGACAGACTGATATATAGATAGATAGATAGATAGATAATAGATAGAAAGTCTTAGATAGATAGATAGATATATAGATAGATATAGAAAAAGCAGAGATACATTAAAAGGACTCAAATAGATATATTGATTGATAGATAGATAAAAAGACTGCGATAGATAGATAGATAGATAGATAGATTCTATTTATTATTGCAAAATACAATAATTGTGGCATATGGCCTTGAAAAGGGGGTTGGGTTTGAGGTTGGTCATCCTTACCTATCCTATACCTAGCTAACCCGATTCACGACCCATTCATTTAATACAAAAAACCCATTCACCAAAAAGAATTCACCCTTCACCTTTTACCCCGACATATAACACAATACCACATTCACAACGGGACCCTAAAAATTAAACCCCATGTTATAAAATCTCTTATGTACAAAGGTTCATAATATATATATATATGTATATATATATATATATATATATATATATATATAAATCTGACGATGATGTGAAATGTTGGGGAAGGTTCTGAATCCCGATATAAAAATTATATATAAAACAGAAAGTAACAGAAAATAATTAATGTTAGCTGGGCCCGCCCACCCCAAATAAAATCAGAGTTGCCGCTGTATTCTGTCATCAGACAGAATCAAGAAGCTAACTCTAACGGAAGGGGGGGTGAAAAATAAATGTAGGGCATGAGGAAGTCAAAGACTGAACCAGTCGAGATAAAAAGGCGGCCGAAAACAAACTGGGGCGTTTGGGAATCTCAACTTGGCTCATAAAGCGTCGGGAACAGGCCAGGAACAAAAATGGGGATCTACCTTAACGAGGGGGGAGGGGTTTGCAGGAAACCGCCCCGTTGTGACGAGAGGGGACTTAAAAAAGGAACTCAAGGATAGCCCCTTTCACTCGAACCAAACTCGCTACTTTTACCCATCTTTCGTTGAAATCTGTCGACACCAAACGCTTTCTATCAGTTCTGATCGTCACTTTCAGCTGATGCTGAAAGTGAAGATCAGAACCTGATGAGAATAGCGTTCCCGTCGCAAGATCCCCCTCCTTTCGCGTCATCCAGATCAACATTCTTGCCACGGCTAGCAACGTTAGAAACACCATTCGTTTCACCCCAGAATACGGGGGCGACACATTGTCGCACGCGTATGCGAGATCGATGAGTACAAAAGCTTATCGGGAGCGATACGAGCCGTCAGCTCACCGACATATTCCCAGAAAGTGCGTACCTGAGGACAATGGTAGAAGGCATGCAAAGCCGTTTCTTCTAAACCAAGGTCACACCGGTAATAGTCGGGCAAATCCGCCCAGCCCCATCTGAAGGCCATGTCATTGAGAGATAGCACGTTGCGGATCAATCGCCAGGTAAGAGAAAACTCAGTGTTACTGAGGTAATTCGACCTTTCGAGGCCGTGAAACCGACAAACCGAGCTGCTGGACCGAGACGAAAGACCCCTCAAAGGCCGCTTCGACACTCGTTGAGAAAAGTCGACAATTTTAAAGACCTCAACCTATATGAAAAAGTCGACAATTTCCCGGACCTACGACGGCGCTTAGCCCAGGAAATGGGAGGAGTGATAGTAAGGCTAGGGAAGGCGTCCCCAACACTCCCCACCAAAATCGAATCCTCTATCAAAACGCGGCGTAGGAAGGCCAATCTCGAGGCGTGTCGATGACTCACCACGTGCGGCAATCCCAGCCCCCCCATGACACGTACGTTGGACACAAGCTTCTTTACGGACCTTCTGCTTGCGCCCACCCCACAAGAGGGTGGACAACAAGCGATCGATCGCCTTCCTATGGTCCTTGCAAAGAAGAAGAAATACAGCCAAGCTGTAAAGGACGAGAGGAAAGACGTAAGTGGCACACGCCTCCTACCCTTCAAGGACAACCTCCTTCGGAGCCAAGTCCGGACCGACGCTCCGAACTTTGCCTGTATTTCTGACCAATTTTTTTCTCCATCTGGAAGTCGGGTCCAAACTACACTCCGAGAATGCGGACAGGACCGTCCGTCCAACTGAAGGGCCCCGGAAGAGACCCCCTTCCAGGCACCTAAATCGCAAGCCGGAAGACATGTTACGGTTAATCTTGGCCCATGTGACCTTTTCGTACCGTTCAAGCGCCTTCTGTACCACCTCAATGTCGCTGTGGCACGACACGAAAATAGATATGTCATCGGCGTACGCGGAAACCCTGGCTCGAGCCTCACCAGGGACAGCAATTCCACGTAGGGCCGGACTGCACGCCCCGTTCTTCAGCCGGCGAAGAGGCGTAAAGTAGGGGCGACAGTGGGCAACCCTGACGAACCGACCGAGACAGCGCAAAAGCACGCGACCGCTTTCCGTTCACCTGTACCACAGCACTGGGTGAGCGATACAGGAGGCTAATCCACTTGCAGAAGTCGGGTTGAATCAGGTGGCCTGCAGGACAGCAGCCAGAAACCGATGGTCGACCCTATCAAATGCCTTGGACTGATCCAAATTGATCAGCGCGGCTTGCTCGTCGTCTTTACACCCTCTAGGATCGTGCGGATCAGATGCAGGTTGCTCTGAAATGTTCTGCCCTTCACAGCACAAGTCTGATCGGGTCCCAACAGACTCTCGGCAATTGACTGAAACGCTCCGTCAGATAAAGATAGACACTGAGATAGATATCAGTTTTAATAAGATAGATAGATAGATAGATAGATAGATAGATAGATAGAAATAATAAAAAATATATACAGAGAGACAGCAGGTCAGGTTGATAGATCGACAGACAGACAGGTAAAGAGATAGATAGATAGATAGATAGATAGTTGTTGTCGGAGTTAACTCCTCCTTTAGTACATTAAGCCTTTCACCAGGGGTCTCTCTTTCCTGGCTAAAAAGCCAGCCGGACCCTTCGCTTCGCCTCGATCTCTTTTTTTCCTTCAGGCCTGTGCACCGACACCTTGAGGTAAATCTCTCCTTTTCATCAGGCTTTCAGCTTACAACCACGAAATGTAGGCGCTAACAAGGGATAGCGTGGAAACACGCTAAGCAATAAGCATATACACAGACACGCACATACAGAATATTCCCATACACTTCGTCCTTTGTACTGTTTCCATGTATTGTAACTTGTTATTAATATATATTTGTATATACATATATTATCGGTCTTGTGTTTTGTTTGCTTTTCTTTGCCTTCTTCTTTGGACTTAATCAAAGTCCAACCTTTTTATGTAGTTGGACCCGGCGAGCAGGAGTATCTGAACCTTACTTGCGTTTCTTCTACGTCTGACTTCTATCAACAACATAACAGCCACGGCCCTCTACAAGGTAATGAAGCGATACAGATAGATAGATAGCAGTTTTTATAAAATAGACAGACAGACAGAAACAGTATAGGATATTCCAAACGTAGCTTAGATATGGCACAAGGCCGAAAGTAAGGGACACCCTGAGGATCGAACTCACTGCTAAGTCGTAAGTTTCGAGTGACAAGATTGATAACCATTACACCGCCCCAAGTTGCCCTATTAAGATAGAAAGAAAGCAGTTTGAATTAGATAGATAGATAGATATTAAAAGGAATCAGATAGATAGATAGATAGATAGATAGATAGATAGATAGATAGATAGATAGATAAAATAGATAGATGAAAACAGTTTTAATAAGATAGACAGATAGATACTGCATATAGACGAACAGACAGACAGACAGACAGACATACGAAATATAAAAAGTAAATGTTCTGCAATGTCACACACACACACACACTTCCAAGCCGACACACATTCACACACAGAGACCCAGACACACAGACTAACACACGTATCTGACACGCATATCCACAAAGTGACAAAACAGTTTCATTATTTCAAAAATTATTAGTAGTATTAGTATTAGTAGTAGTAGTATTAGTAGTAGTAGTATTAGTAGTAGTAGTATTAGTAGTATTAGTAGTA